TCATCAGAATAATCGAAACAAAATAAAATTAGAAAAAAGTAACAATATATAATGCAAGAGCAAACTAATAATTTCTCAAAAAATATAATTATCTAAGAACTATTGTTATAGTGTATAATTTCCGAAAAGTATAATTTCTAAAATTTTTATAATTTTTGTAATGCATTATTAGCAGAAACATAATTTTGTATTTTTATATTTATTTATGCTAATTTGTTTTCTTCTTGCATTAATTTACTATGTTTTTTGTGTGTATATCCTAATCGAAAAGCATTGACTGTATTACAAGAATTTAATTTTTATATTACTGCTCGATCATTAACATATTGATGTAATTATAATTCATTATATACTCGATAAATTAAATATAATTTTTTCGACTGTAACATTTTACTGTCATAAAAGACTAAAAATTTGTGCAAAATTTATTGCCAGTGATAAATTATTTTATTTTAAAATTTATAAACTACAAAAAATTATAAGTCTTGTCAATTTTTTACTTAAATTTACAAATGACTAAATGAAAAAAGAATTTAGTCAGTATTGGACGCTTTTAATGAGATCAATTATATTTATAGTAACAATGAGAAGAATAAGATAAAACAAGATAAAAAATAAGAACTACAATAACGTCTATTAATTGTTATATATGTGTTTATAATAATCAAATTACAGAAAACGGTAGTAATTTAGAAATAGACTGCTAAATAAAATTATGGATAACTTTCAAATACTTTTTTATTATAAACATTAAATAATTGAATAAATTTACAATAAAAAAAATTATAAATTAAAGACAACATCAGGTAAAAATTATTAAATATGATTTAATGTTAATATATAATTAAAAATCCATTTATTTGGATTATATTCACGAGTTATTAAGTTTTCAATACAAGAATTAAGAAACAATTGTATAATTTAAATAAATGTTCTCAAAAACAACCATATTTGAACTATGGTTAAAGTAATTACAGTCAGAAAACATGAGTATTAATTTAAATGTGTAGCATCAATATACAGTATTACAAATTATACTTTTCTTCTTTTCAATAATATTCTTTTAAAAAAAATTTCATAAATTAAATACACAAAGAAAGTTTTTAAAAAATACATAAAAATATTAATTAGCACAAATTAGATTTTGCAAACAGTATGTATAAAGATTCGATTTGTTATACATACATAACAATGACTAAATAAAGTTATGAAGAAGCTTATAACTTGACATTATTGTAACCAATTTTGCTTGATAAACTTTAGAAAAAATTATAACACAACAAAAAAGTATTTATATAGACATTTATATATGATACAATATGATATAAAATGTGCATGTCTAACATTAAAAAAATGAATTTAGACAGCATAAAATTTCTTTGAAAAGATTATTACACTGAACATTTCACTATGGATATTCATAAAAAAAATTTAATAATATATAACCACTTATATTTAATATTTTCTTTTAAGTAAATTTCTATATTTTCAAAAATTTTACTTCTTTTCTTAAAAATAGTCATTAATTAAGAAATGTGTATCAGTGTACATATGAGCTGCTTTGATTTAGAAAAATGAACTGATTTTATTAAATGTTTTCAATAGTCTTACTTAAAAATATGTCAAAAAGCATAGATGATTTTATTTGTGATTCTCGTTTTGCTTAATTCACATAAACTATGTACAAAAAATTTGTATTAATGTTGACATATTATAGCATTCTAAGAGATCCTAAAGATTATACAATTGGATATATGAAATCTTTTGCACATTACTCCAGGATTCTTACAAATTCAATATTCGTCATCTGAATATTTCTATTTATCTATCAAATAGTATGTAGTACATCCTATAATTAATAATCGTTAATAGATTAAAACCACCTCTAAATAGGCGCCCTCGTTATTTTGCTTGTATGTTTCATTACATAACTATTACATATATTGGCAGTGTTTCCTCAGCTGGCGTATATATCTTTCGAGTTTTGCATACTCTTCTTGCTTACACTTAATTCGTGTTTAAAAAATCACTTTTTTTTCATATTTTCTGTTTTCCCGTTACTATATCTATATGTACATACAATTGGCAATACCGTTACGCTAATCACGAACTCTTTTATCCACCTTCAATATTTACCTTGTTTTTAAATATTCTAAGCTCTTATGAGTGTATACTCTTATAATATTGTTGCCACTTCTCACCATAACATTAGAAATTAATGACAATTTAACTTCATTATAATACTAGAAATTCAACAAGAATTTACAAAACGAAAATTCTATTTTCTGTAATTTAGTATTATATTTCAAAATATTTTAGTACTATAATTTAATATTCCAAAATAAACAAAAAAATATTACATTAAAATCGAATATTTTAAAATAATCATTGTCATCATTTTCTGTCAAAATATACGTTTTCAACTGTTCGTTTTTGCAGTATTTTTCTTTTAGTCAATATAAAATAAAATGTCATTATTTCCTTTTAGTTTTATTATTTCTTATTAATTTTGTCTTACCCTCATAGCATGGAAAATATAAAACACAGCCTTGGCATTTTGTAATCCATATGAGTAATAGCTCATTTACAAAAAGGCTGCCAATAAAACCGATATTCTCTACGTCATTAGCACATTTAAATAACTTAATATTTTATATAAAATTAATTATTATTTAACATTGGTTCCAAAAGTTTATTTAATTTAGTTTCTTTATTTTATTATATATTTAATAATTTTATCATTCTTTAAAATAAAAAAAAAATTAATTTATATATAAAAAATGCTAAAAATATAAATGCCGATATATATAGAAAATTTAACAATATTTTCAATCCTTTAATAATCTAGTTCGGCAAAATGCTAACGCGTCCTCTTATTATTTTATTTTCTTTATAGATTTTAAATGAAATATCGGAATATTTGAACAACTAATACCTATTTTATTGTAGATCCTTATGTCATTTATAGATGTACACTGAATTGAGTATCATGGTTACAAATATTTTTATTTAGTAGTTTTTAAAAATAGTTATTTAGTTATAGAATTGCTTTCAGTTGGAAAACTTTTTGTACAATGTATGATACCCTGTTTATTTTATAATATATAATATGCTTTTCATTCTATTAAAACTATTTTATGATCTTTAAACATGTAAAAAGTCACTGTACTTTTCGATTATAATATTTATATAAAAATATTATTTGAAGTAATTCATCATTTAGTAAAGAAAAATATTTAAAAGCATTAATGTGATTTGTATAAGGATCAATTTATAAATTACAAGCTGAAGTGACTTCAACTACACAAGTATTTAGAATTAAAATATAAAAATTTTTAAATTTACAAAATGTTATTTATTCATCATAAAGAAAATGAAAGAGAAACGCATTTGCATTTATATCGTACATAGTTAATAAGCGGTATATAGAAAGGATGAAAACGATAAGTACTTGATAAAATGAATTATCTTAATTGCGCTGAAATAAAAAGTTATATGTACACCTTGAAAATGTAATATATTATGATTAGTACATTTTATTTTTTATTTAAAGATAATTTATATAGATAATATAATATAATTAATAAATAATGCATCATTCCATTTCCGAATTTTATATCAAGTACAATCGAGTCCATAGAGATTTCATTGAATTATTTCTTTATACTTTTGTTCTTTGTGATCTATTGAGACAAATCCTTATTACGTACTTGATTCTTTGATTGATCGAGCTTTCAGTCTGTAATAAGAAAATTTTTCTTTAAAATCCAATTGTATTTAAAATATCTTTATAAAAAAAATTTAGTTAAAAAAATCATTTTATAGAAAAATTCTGTTTTTAACTATTAATTTCAATTTTAATTTTCTATGAATTGCAATTTATGTATAATAAATATAATATAATTACAAAAAATAAATTTTAACAATATAAAAATCAATGTAATAGTCATTCTAAATGGTGTTTTTCATTACAATAATTTTTAAATCTAATATTAATAAGATATAATATAATTATTATAACTAATAAAGTAGTATATACTTATTAATATAAGTCTAGAAATATATAAACATAAAGAGTAAAACTCTTGCTCTAGATTTTTTAACTCAAAATGACATTCCAATATATAATGGTTGAGATATGACTGAATTTATTTTAAGCCCTAGAATACATGTCGAATATTTAAACGTTACAAATTCATATACTAAGTTAAATAAAAACATGATAGAACAATGAATTTCTTTTAGAATATTTATTTAATCAAAATGATAAAATAAAAAAAAAATTCTTATTCTAAAGACTGTCAAAAATCCAAGTAGGAAAAATTAACGCATGGTTAAAGCGATCTACATTTTCGAGCTCAGATATATTTCAAAGCCTAAATAACTTTTACAAATGAAAATATTTTACTTGGTAACTTAATTTATCTGATCAATATGTGAAAATATTAAAAAAAATTCAAATGTATTAAGCCAATAGTTGTCCATTATACACACAAAGTTTGCGCTTTAAACTTTTTATAAACGTATATTCCTATACAAGTGAGATGAGAGATATACCATTATAATTATCTAGTGGTCGAAAGTCGACACTTATTAATTTTTTCTTTTCACATATCTTCAATTGAAAATTTTTTTCTTCTTGATTTCTGTCTTTTTTATTTATTAGTTACGAAATTCCAAAATAGTGTCATTCAGGAGGGACCGATGTCAGAATGAATCCTTAAGGACACCAGAGTGATTATTTTAATTGTATTTTTCTTACAACTTTTTTTTTAGACTGAGGCACTTTTGAGGTTCTCCCAGGATCATCGAACTCTTGAAAAGACGAAAATTTCTCACTTTTACTTTTAATGATGGAGTTTAAAAAGTGTACTCTTCACAACAATATTTTTAATTATTAAATAGAAAGTTTGCTGCTCATCATAAATTGCATTTTCTTCCA